TGGAGATTTTGATGGTATTTTAAGGCAACTATATTTATGAATAGGTTGTTTATTTTCTTTTTGATATGTTGTTTAGGTCCAACTCTTGATGTTGACTGGCGTAACAATGTATCCTTTGCAACAAGCTCCACTGACAATATGATATATGTCTGCAAGATTGGTGAAAACCGGCCTATAAAAACTTTTGCTGGCCACCAGGTTTGTACTGATGATCTCATTTACTGTATTATAATATAGAATAATTCTTTTAAGACTGTAACTGTTACTTCTTGGAATTGGGGGGTGGGTTGATCTTAAACTTGAATTTGTTTTTGATTTAAAGTTAAAATGGTTGGCATGGTTGACAAACTCAATAGACTGGTGGGCTGCTGCTTTCAAGATGGGTTGTGCTGGCGTTCCTTTTTATTTTATGCTTATTGATTACAGTCCCATGATAGCCTTGCATTTTTGCAGTTTCTCATCATGGTTGGCTGAGATTGATTTGATATAAATGTGCTGTTGATTTTTCACAACACAATATATCAATTTAATCGTTTAGGTGCAATATAGAGTTTGGATAAGATCTTCCTGATAATGAATTTTCCGCAATAACAGGGTGAAGTTAATTGTGTAAAATGGGATCCCACTGGTTCATTGCTGGCCTCCTGTTCTGATGATATTACTGCAAAGGTAATTTTTGGCCACTTATTTGAGGGAATGATCTGTTTATCATGTCCCGAGTTTTTGTTTTGGGTTCTATAAGCTGGCATTTTTAACTAACTGTTCATTTTTTGTAATGTTATTTTTTAAACGCAAAGTCTGCCATTTTGCATGAATATTTGAAATTTATTGTGTTAGTTTCTTCATTTGTTGATATGTGATAATAATCCAAGATTGTCATGTAGATATGGAGTTTGAAGCAGGACACATATCTCTATGATTTAAAGGAGCATTCCAAGGTATTGTGAGCTTTCGATTTTTTTTTTTTTTTTAAATTTTCTAATGATATTTCTTTTCCTCCGACATTGTGGGTTTTTATGGAATAACGTCTATGTTTCTTTTTTTTTTTTTTTTTCGGCAGGAGATATATACAATCAGATGGAGCCCAACTGGTCCTGGTACAAGTAACCCTAACCAAAAATTGGTGTTGGCTAGGTAAGTCTGCTGCTTTGTTGTTATTTATTATGTGCAGTTCTTCTAAATATAATTTATCTAAAACGTGGTATTTCAGACTCCAAGAGTCTTGGTTGATAAATGACCGCTTCAATTCTATGTGAACTTTTTAGTACTGTGTGGGCACAGTGCTGCAAAATGATGTCCTCTATGTTGGGTTTGATTCCAACTAATTATAATTTTCCTTACACTGTTCTGACGCTGAACTTTTAAATTGGTTTCCACAGCATTTTAATGTTTCAGAATCAAAATCCATTTTTATCCTTATATACTATTTTTAGTGCAGTGGATTTTCTAATATAGCTGCTGCTCTTTAGATTCTCTTGATGCAATGTTTTCATCCTACAGTTTCCCTAGGAGCATCACTTACTCCATATTCTTTTTTTTTTTGGGGGGTTTATCAGAAGTATGTGCTTGATGTTAAGTATTTTGTGGTTACCTTGCAGTGCATCATTTGACTCGACTGTAAAGCTGTGGGATGTTGAAGTCGGGAAACTTATCTGTAGCTTGAATGGACACAGGTATTGTTTTATAATATGTGAAGAGCAGTCCTCTCTCTTTCACTCTCCTTGCCCTTGCCCTTATCTTCCTGTTCCACTGTATGGAATTTACTATGATTCTTACATGCTATATTTGGTTACAGGGATCCTGTGTATTCTGTAGCATTCAGCCCCAATGGTGAGTATTTAGCCAGTGGATCTCTTGACAAATCCATGCACATTTGGTCATTGAAAGAAGGGAAGATTGTGAAAACATACACGGGCGAAGGAGGCATTTTTGAGGTCTGCTGGAATAAGGAGGGTGACAAAATCGCGGCATGTTTTGCTAATAACACAGTTTGTGTTTTGGATTTCAGAATGTAGCCGTGAGGAAGCCCAATGTTATCCATAACCCCACAGTTAGATATTGCCTGTGAAATTAAATTCGTTCTCCTCCCTGTAGGCTAGATTGGTGCAAGTGTATTTTTATGTGGGTAGGTTTTCATTTTATCGTAATTGTAATCATAACTCGGATATTCCTGTAAACATTGCTCTAAATCATAGTGAAATAACTTTAGCATGAGTAGTCACATCTTGATCAATGTGCATTTCCTTTGTCGAGAGTGTCATGGATGATAATCCTTGATTCCTTGTCTTTCGACAAATCCGTTGACTGCTTTAAGATGTACCTATTTGTGTGAGTGGAACGCTGAGCTGCATTCAGGTCAACTGCTTGTGATGCTGGGGATATATTTAGGGCTGCGTAATTGGTTATTCAGTTTGGGTAGGTTCATTAGCCGAAATGCGCATATTTTAAACACTAAACTGAAACTGAACATTAGCTGCTAACAGAACTGAATTAACTGAAATAATTTGGTTTACTAGGTTTCAGGGCTTTATATATTGTAATAAACTTCGTTAGTTATTCATTATATTACGAGTTTAAATTAAAAGTATCACTGGAAACAATAGCAGTTCAACTAATATTGGGTTTTTTAATTGCTCCAGCAAAGGAAACACCTGCTGAAAGTACTATCATATAAAAATCCAATAATTACATGTACGTGTGCAGCTTCAATATTAAAATCCTGGAACAAAATCAAATATATATTCAAGGCTAGATCTCAAGGATTTACGGAGAGATGAATCTTGAGACGTGGCCGCAAGCTTAACCAAATGTGGAATGTGAGGAGATGGAGAGAAGAGCAGAGACAGTGATGTGGTGAAGAATTTAATTAGATTGAAGGAGAGGACTGCGATGTGAGGCAATGACTGATCAGGAAGGGGATGTGGGTGCCATATCATGAAAGATGATATGGAATCTTACCTTAGCTTCTAGGGTTTAAGATATATTAGGCTGGGTTTAGATATATGTTTGGGCCTATGAGAATATCACTTAGTTTCATGTTCTATGTGCAGACATGTAAATATGTATATGTATAATATTATATATGTTGACAAAACACATTATATATACTTATAAATTTCGGTTTTTTGGCTTGAAACCGAATTTTTTTTAATTAACCAAATCAATAACCAAATACCGAAATTTAATAAATAAAAACCAAACAAAAACTGAACACCAAAATAACCGAATCGAAAAATTGAAAATACATTTAGGTTTGGTGATAGGGTTAAGGTTCGGTTTTATTTTTCTTTAGATACTCCTCCGATCCTTAATATAAGATCTATTTAACTAATTTGATTAGATTAAGAAAGTTAGGTTAGTTAGTTAATTATAAGAAATATGACACGTTTTTCCTAAAATACTATAATCATCTTTTTTAATACCCCATCTTCCTCTTCTACTTGATTATGGTTGAGCGAGTATCTATAGGGGTAATTTAGAAAAAAATTAATAAATATGAAAAATGTGTCTTATCTTTATAACCAAAATCAATGAAAAATGGGTCTTATCTTTAGAATCAAAATCAACTCAATAATTAGGTCATATATTAAAAACCAGAGGAATATATTCTTTCAATTGCTACAGGTGCTCGGTTACCAGACCTGCTATGGACACGGTTTTTGTGATACAATTTCCGGTCCAACAAAAGGGGTTTCCTTCTAGGGAGAATTTTATGAGAAGCATGCCATTATCTTTGGAAAATGTAGAAAAACTTCAATGATCCAAAGTGTTGGCTATTTACACGTTGTATAAGTTTTCGTCCTACTCAAAGGTAGGAATTGGCGTTTGGGCGCTGATGCTGAGTGTTTGAAACTTGGATTAGCGGCTCTAAGTCGAAGCATAAATCATAGAGACCGGTTTCCAAAAAAAAAAATTTCTAAATTGTAGGGACTAACTTTAAAATTTGGTGAAATTATAGATACTAAAGACTAAACTTATGAGCATAACTTTACAACTCAAAAGGCCTGTTAAATGTGAAATAGTTCAAACATAAATGATAAATTTCATGAACGTAAGAGGGAAAATAAATCATAAGAATTGAGACATGAGAAATATATTAACATCCACATGCATATTACTACAAAATGAGTTTTACGTTTAGAACAGGAAGAGTATATTCATAACTAATACTCTTCCGATCCTTAATATAAGATCTATTTAATTAATTTGATTAGATTAAAGAAGTTAGGTAAGTTAGTTAATTGTAAAAAATATGACATGGTTTTTCTTAAAATATCATAATCATCTTCCTTAATATTCTCTCTCCCTCTTCTACTTGATTATAGTTGAGGGAATATCTACAAAGATAATTTAGAGAAAATTGATAAATATGAGAAATAGGTCTAATGTTTAGGACAAAAATTAACTCAACCATTATGTTCTATATTAAAGAAGGGAGGAGTAGCTAATAATGCATGATAAATTAGATTATTTTAATACAAAACAAAAGTAAGAAAAAATTTCAATAAAAAAGGTAAGAAAATAATCATACTTCCCCTTTAAAATATTACTACCTCCGTTCCTTATTATAAGAGCTTGTTTGACTTTTAATTTGATCCTAGATATAAGATTCCAATCCACTTTGTCTTTCATATTTATTCATTTTTTCCAAAGTAGTCCTTGAAATAGTTGCTCATATAAAATGTTTCATATAATGGTAACTTTAGTTAATATATATGATTAGCAAAGGTGTTTTAGTAAAGAGAACACCTATTTATAACAAGTAACTAATTTAACTAATTTTCTTAATCTGTCCAAATTAGTCAACCAGATCTTATAATAAGAACTGGAGGTAGTAGTTATGATAATTATCTTGAATCCTTATACCCGTCATTTTAAACACATGTATATGAAAAAACTGAAAAGTGATAGCGTTAGTTTTAAAACATTGATAGTGGTTCTTATCTCGAAGAATCAAACTTTTAGCAAAACATTGGACTTAATCCTCGTTATCTTCTTCATGCAGGGTAGGCCATACAGCAATAGATAATCCAGTTCAATGGGCCAATTTTGTGCCCTGCCAGAAGGGTTTAGTTTCTTGACCAAAACCCCTGGTTCGTTTCTCTCTCTGTTGCGCGTTGCAGGGTGAGTGAGCAGCGCGTAGAAATGGCTCTACGTGGCGGATCTCTTTCAAGGTCTCTGATCACCGCCGCCAGAACCTTCTCAAATCATTCGTCGCCGCCGTCTATCTCTCGCATCCGCACATCTCCACTTGGATCTTATCTTCTCGACTCTCGCCGCCCCTTCACTGCAGTTCCAAGGTGCTTTCCCTTTTATATCTAAGAAGGAAGTGAAAACCTTGCTCTCTGAATTTTTGATTTAATTTATCTCTTTTCGTTTTTCAAGGACTATGGGGCTGTTGGGGTGCACGCAGTCGCTCTTGCCTCTGCACAGTGCTATTGGTGATGCTCATCTTACTTCCCATATCTCTATCGAATATCGTGCTTGCTGCGAGTTGTCTCAAGGTAATTGCTTCTTCCCTCTTCCGTTTTGGTGGCCATTGAACCAACTAAATCACTGTATGAATCATATAATATATAACTTTGAGTGCCATTTTTCGTATTGCATGTTCGTAATTAAGATAAATTTAGTGAAATTTAACTCTAAATTTTTTTTGGTAATAAATTTAACTCTAAGTCTAATCATTCTTCTCTGCTGCGACCTCCGGGGCTTCCGTAGTGTCTTTATGCATTTGCAATTCTATGTTACCAATTAGTGGTGTGTATGTAATTCTGGCCTCGTGTCCGCATTGAACTTTTAGAAGCCAAATGATTAGCGTTTAAACTTGATTAGAGTTTCTTGGCAGTTTGTTGCAAGGCTCTAATAAGAACCTAACATGTGGCGACGAACTTTTTGAAGGAATTACTTATGGGATGTTAAGTTGTAAATAGTATTCAAATGTCAATTTTTATTGAATACTAGTCATACTTACGCCGTATTGATGCTGCCTAGGAGGTGAGACTCACTCTTAACTTTGATCAGATGAGCAACCAAGCTACTTACTAAAGTCCTTCTCCGTCGTCTTTTGTTCCTCACAATAAAATATCTTTGATGGTTCTATATAAAGTGGTTTTTCTCCAGATTATTTTATGTTGCCCTGATCATCAAAACTAGTTTACAGATGTTTGTTCAAATGCCTTTAAGCCTAACTCTAATTGAATTTCGCCTTTTTTTTTAATGTACTTCTGATTGAATTTCACTTGTGAGCATATTTATTGGATCAATCCTCTAGCTTACTGGTGTTTGCCTTCGGGTGTACAGGTACTTGAGTAGATTATAAAATTGGATGGAGTTGCCCACATTTCTATAGCCAGAAAAAGAATTTATGGCCGATGCCATGGAACAGGAAGCTTGTTGTTCTTTCTCAATCATTTGGTTCGTTGCAGTTTCATTCTTCCTGATATAATTGGAGGTTTAGGCATTACATTTGAGAGAAATTTTGAGCACATGTATTCTTCTGCATAGAAATCTTTCAAATCTGGTTGAAGGGCATAGACTTGTTTTTTCTATGAAAAATTATGCCCAGAAAACAAAATCGCGAGCATAGATACTTATATGGTAATACTAAAATGCTTATCAGGAATCTAGTTTTCATGTATTATTTGTTTGGGCGATGAACTCTCTCTTTCTCTGAGTTTGTTAACTGCGCGCGCTTTTGTTGTACCCCTCAAGTAAGTTCCTTTCATGATTGCAAATGGGCTCAACCATACTAAATCACCCGGAAGCCATTGAAAGTTGTGGAGGGAGAGCCAGTCAGTCGCGACTGAATTTCGCCATTGTACAGCCTCATCTCAAGACATGATTTGTGCCTTCCAATTAGAACCAGAACAACTTGAATATACTGGACCTAGGGTGCAATGTTGACAGAGGGAGGAGGTCAACAACTCATGCAACAAATTGCACTCGTGTCTTGTCTTATACTACTCAATGGGGGACTCGATATTTCATGCCACCAAATCACCATTAGGTTGTTTATCAAGTTAGATGTTCAATGACTTGGGGCAAAAATTTAAAAAACAAAGCAAAACAAAACAAAAACAAAAAGAATGTTGTTATCGTGAGTTCAATATGGAACTTGTTACAACTGAACCCAAGTGTCGGATTAAACTCTGCTTTTTGGAGTAAATGAAGTATAATTAAATACTTATTTGTTATAGCTTATAAATAATTTTTTAATCATGATTTGCTAAATACAAGATAAGTATGTAAAAGGAGTTTTATTTTAACTTACATAAAACGTATTTATAAGTGATTTTAAACGGGATGACAAATAAAGTCTAAATTCGGAGGTTTTATTGGTCACAAGATGCATAATGCTTTTAACAGATGCTTGAACTCGGTATCCAAGTGATTTCATGAACATGCTACCTTCAAAATAATTGGCGTACAAGTTGTGGGAAACTTGTAGATTATTGAATAACCTTGGTTATGGATATTAAGCGGTTTAATTATGATACATTAAGATTCTTCATTAAACATACGATTGTTAACATTTGAAACTGTAATGTTTTCAAGTGTGACATGTGGCAAGATTGCTGTTGTTTTTATTATTTTTATGCATCTGTTGTCAAATATGACTCATTTCCAATTGCTACAGTGTTTAGCACATCACATCCTGGTGTTAAAACTTGCCCCAGCCTTCTGCCCCACTCCAGGATAGCCTTCAGAGTCTTGTCTCCCTCTCTGTTTTCTTCTTGTGGTTTCTGCATTAAATGGATTGTGGGATTTGTCAGTATCTGTATGCAACAAAAATCTGTGCTGTGCTGGGAAAACCCTTCTTTTTTTGGTTCTAGAATTATTGAACATTAAAATTCAAACCCAGTTATGTGAATGGTGGTTAGTTTGATACTTCTCTTGCTAGCTAGTATAAGCATTATTTTCAAAATATTTATAAAAAAAAAAAAAACCATCTTTCAATGAGTGTTTAGGTTCACCCATTGCCTATATTCATTTATAACGGGAGCAATAATCATCATACTGGCGGAATCTTTGTGATAGGGATTGCTCATGTCCCAGAAATGAAATATTGAAATAATTTATGACCAAGTTGATTGATGTTGGAGCTTCGTAGATCGTAGACTCTTTATGATAATATGATGCTTTCACAATACACATCTTTTGGAATTCCCGAGAAGAAAAAACAAAACAAAAACTTTTTGATGGGACCTTGCGTTATTATTAGCATCAGCCACATGGCTAGAAATTCAAGTTCCACGGGAACAAAAATGCTCAAAAAAGTAGCATTGAGGTTTATGTTAGCTCGGTACACATTATGAAATCCTTCATATTCCTTCAGATCCAAATTAAGCAACCCCCAAAGAATATGTCAGAATAAGCCGACCCAAGTTAACTGGTAAATTCTGCTAAACTAATTTGGAGCCAACAATCGTTCCTTGCTTGTTGGATCCTTATCAGAAAATGCTTCTAGTTGATACCCCAATAAGATTCCAACACGATATGAACATTGCTTCGTCACCCCATTACCGGCTAAATCATGAACTTTTGCTAAGGAAGTATTAGAGGAAAATTTTGATTTTTTTCTTATTTTTTAAAATAAGCACAGGTGGCTCTATATCCCTTTATACGTTGCCGACTTACAACAAGATAAGCTCAAAACCATTATCATATTTAGAGAGAGAAACTGAGTAAGAACCCACAGTTTATCCATCTTTCCTCCTCACTTTTTTTTGCCTCCACCACTATTGGCAGTTTCTTGTGCCCTAGAGCTTCATGGTTATAAAAAAAACATTATGCAAAACTTTCCTGCATTCCACTATCTTTAGTGAACTTGTTCATTCCCTAATTTGGAGCATTGAAATGCTTCTCTGTTCATTGATAACGTGTCCTCTTTCTATTGCCTGCCACGCCTCGCCTTATCTTGCCTGACCAATATGAACAACGAATGTATCTATCACTTACCTTAACATGTTTGACCTTCTAAAACATTATCTTTTCATATCAAACTTGTGGCCCTTAAGAAACCAAGACCAATTGGTACAGTAAGCTAACAAGTTGTCCACAGAATTCTCAGAATCTAGCATGGGAGCCTATAACTGCAGAATGGGGTTAAATCCCCCTCTTGATTGGGAATTGAGACAAGGTATAATGCCCATGTGGAACTTCTCTCGTCCTTTAATAAGGGGGTGTTTGGATGAAACCAAACCATGGTTTGGAGAATAACTTCTAGAAAATAGATTCTTGGGAGAATAGATTTTGTGAAGAATAAATTTTGTGAAAAAGTGATTCTGATAAAATGAGAGTGTTTGAATAACTGTTATCAAAAGCACTTTTTATATGTGCTAATCACTAAAAAAGACATAAATTAATATGATAATTATATAAAAAATAGATTTTATAATATATTTTAATTTGAAAGAATAAAATTATTAATAATATATTTTTTACCAACATAATTAATGACATATAAGATAATATAATTAATAAATAATCAATATATGTATATATATTTATAAAATATAAGATTAAATATGTTTATAAAAAAAATAATTGAGGGGTGTCAAAGTCATATTATCGTTGAGATCTACTTTGACAGGCATAATCATACTTTCTAATTTGAGCAAGAAACAAAATGGATTCACTTTTTTTGAAACCATAGTTTTGGCCCCAAACCATAGTTTGTTAATTTTGTCCCCTGTTTGGCAACTTTTTTACCCAAACCATAGTTTGGAATGTTATCCAAACAGGCCCTAAAGAATGGACACCAGCATTATTTCTTGGTTTTTCTTGACGCGTGGGGTATAAAATTGTAGTCTTGATCTAACAGTACAAGACACTTCCAATAGTGGAAGGGTCTATTTTTAATCCATCAAGGAACAAAACTTATTTAGATGCTACGAGAAGAGTAAAGCTTAAGAGAAGCAAGCATCTTAAGACAAATTGCCAGCACCATAAAATGACAGAACAGGAGCATTGTCTTCTTCGAAAGTACATGCACCACTAAGTGGGAACACAGGATATAGCAGAGAGGTAATACAAGATAACATTTTTATCAAATGATAATATTCATTTCCCACTACCTCTCTTTTCTTTATTTTTATTTGGGAGAGCAACTCCCAAATGGTTATATCTTAAAACTATTCTGATCTGAAAGAAGCGAGAAGAAGCTATGACTTTCTGCAAAGAGGAAGAAGAAGTGGCGGATAAGGTATCTGTTGCAGTATCATCAGGATCAATGAACAAAGAAGAAGAAGTTGCATCAGAGGGAATAGGACAGTGGTTGAGTTTAGGACTCAACGGATCTGACAAAGCTCAGGAATTGGAAGACTCTGAAATATCAAAATCATTCCGGAATAATAATAAGGTATTCTCATGCAATTTCTGCATGAGGAAGTTCTACAGTTCACAAGCCTTGGGGGGTCACCAGAATGCACACAAGAGGGAAAGAGGAGAAGCAAGAAGGAACCAATCTCATAGAATGATGATGGTGGCGTCAAGGTCACTCGGTGTCCAGCCACACTCACCTGTGCGCAAGCCAAACAGAGAAGGGTCAGGCATGGTGGCTCGACTCAGTGGTGTTAATCATGGGTTTCAAATGGCATATTGGACGCCATTTCTGGTAGAACAAGCTATGGATTTGAGTTGGCCAGGAAGTTTTCATGTGGATTTGCCAAAACAAGAATCCGATGTAAATAAGCTTGACTTAGATCTTCGGCTCTGATACACTTCGCTGCTTTCTTGATTATTAATCTTCATATGTAATATGTTACACATGCTAGTAGAATATCAAATAAAACGCCAATTCATGTGCTTTAAGTTTTTTCTCTTTGAGTTTTGTTTGCCTTCTCATAGTTGTTAGAAGTTAGAATTTGTCGCCCAACGAACAATATTGCGGCAGAAAACAAGGTAAGTATGATTACAAAGTAGAGAATGTGTTCATTGTAAAGAAGTTCTGAAGAATCTAAAGATTTTTTTCAACAAGACTGGACTTAATCCTAGTTCCTTGTGAGAGATATGTTTTGAAAAGTCCCCGAAGCAGACTCTGCCTCAACCAAAATATGCGTGAAGCATGCAGGGTTACTCTAGATTTATTTTATATCCAAAAGGCAAACTCATGAGACTCCCTTCATGAGGGCATATACAAACAAACATAGACTGCCAGTTGTGAACTTATACTCACTCCTCCTACATAGTTTCCATAATAAGTTTACTCGTGTTTTTTTTTTTTTGGTTTTCTTTTTTGAATTAGAAGAGTGGACACTAACAGCTTGATATTACAAAACGATATTAAACATGCAACCTCTGTTTATAGAAATTTTACATGTTACGAGGCCACAAAGTCACTGGTTAAATTTACTTGGTTTAGACAAGATGAAAAGTGATGGCGTCTCACTTTAGTTTTGCACCTTGATGGTTGACAAGTTTCATTTTGTCACAACTTGAAAGGTTCCCATCTTTCACAGCTTGGGCTTATTTTTGGATCAATGTACAGACACCCTTCTGAGTTAATTTGCATTGAAAACTTGGGCTGCTCGTATAAATTAGGAATGGTCCACTGCTCCATCCGCAGCCCATTTTCTTCTTAGTGGGCCACAATTTCCCACTATAATTCAAGTTAGATACTATATTACTATTGCATGCTTAGTTTTTTTTTTCCCTGAAACACGACAAAATGGCATGCTTAATTAGTTAATTATACACTACAAGATTCTCTCGCTCCCACACACAGAAATTAGGATTAATGTTTCATATTCTTCAGACGGAGGGTTTTGTTCACTTTAATTTATATAAAACTTAGTCAAGAAACTTGGGTTTTCATAACTTGTTCACTGACGAGATTTTTAAAAATAATGCTTTAAATTGTTTCAACATACTCCTCTGATCCTTAATATATGACTCAATTATTGAGTTAGTTTTAGTCCTAAATATAAGATCCATTTATTATATTTATCAATTTTCTCTAAATTACCCCTATATACTTTCTCAACCATAATCAAGTAGAAGAGAAAGATGGGATATTAAGAAAGATAATTATAGTATTTGAAGAAAAACGTATCATATTTCTTATAATTAACTAATATACATAATATCGTTAATATAATCAAATTAGTTAAATAGATCTTATATTAATGACCGAAATAGTGCATACAATATGAATCGTCCTATCTTCAAAACTTGACCGTGGACTTGGGGACATTCAATCGGCAAGTTTATTAAACAAATAAGTCTAGGCAAACACGCACGCATCTTCTATGTTATTGACGTAGTACCATCCAAAAACAAGAAACACAGAAAAATGATATTCGGCTATGACGATGCTTGTCAAGTGGAATATTATCTTGTTCTTGCGGTCTGAAAGCTCTGTAAACGTGTCAGTTCTACATACAGTGATAATGAAAGTTTTCTTTTCTGCTTTATATTAATCTAACGGTATTATCAGGAAAGCAGAAAAAGAGATTCGTATAGAATTTAACAAAGATCACGAAACGGAAACAAATAATCATGGTATAGATACTTTAGGTTTGGGGAAGCCTAGGAGACAAGAAATCAATAGTTTGGTAGCCCAGAGCAGAACTGGGCTTTCATTTCCGGAAGACATGGAACGGGAACAGACACAGATCTAATAGTACATAACCTAGGAAAAAAGCACGCATGCCCTACAAATTCAGGCATGTGACACATGCATATGACTTACTAATACATATAAAGTACTACTATAGCTGTTCCCCTACAACATGATCAGTAAGCCATGTGATTTGTGACGTTCATACGTTAACGAGCGTCGAAATTTCAAAGGTAGGTCTTATAGAGCTTTCAGGGTTCAAAGGATCTTACCCATAAAACTGTCACTCTTCGTCGTCCTCCCATTAGAATTTCATTTCAACACTGCAATGAAAACTCGTATCTGTCCTTTTATCTCTCTGTGTTTTGAAAACTTCTTAGAGAATCCAGATTTATTCTGCAGAATATCTGCTCTTAGTCTTAGCTGCATAATTTAACCACTACCACCTGCCTGTAACCGCATGATCAAACAAATGATGATGCTTTTTGATTTTGAGTGTAGCTTCTGTCCCTTCATCAACTTCACTAGATTAGGATCCAGACTTTAAAGGCTCCTCAATTATGTTGTTTGCCATGGCTAACATAGCTTTAATTATTGGAAAAAAGACAAAAAAATGACAATTTAACTTTAAAATGACCAGAACGTCCGCTGAATTTGCAAAATGCCAATTTGATCTCATGTGACCATGAGACCAAATTGACATTATCATGTCAAATGAAAAGACCAAATTGGCCTTCATTTTAAATATTATTTTTAAAATATCACAGCCCCACTGGTCGGCCAGTTGCCGGAGCTCCGGCGACTAGCCGACAATTAGTCATCGAAGCTCCGTCGGTCAGAAAAATTTTTTTGAAAATTTTTACAATTTCAATATAACAGTTAACAACTTTTGTGATGCTATTAACAACTTCAGTATAACAATTAACAACAGGTTTTTTAGACAATTCAACAAGCTCCGGCTGCCGGAAATAAATTTTTTTAAAATTTTTACAACTTCAGTATAACATTTAACAACTTCTGTAACGCTATTAACAACTTCAGTATAGCGATTAACAACAGGTTTTTGGAAAAATTCAACAATTGGTCACCGGAGCTCTGACGGCCGGAAACAATTTTCTTGAAAATTTTTACAATTTCAGTATACAAGTTAACAACTTTTATAACGCTATCAACAACTTCGGTATAGCAGTTAACAACAAATTTTCTGAGAAATTCAGTAAGCTCCGGTGGCCGGAAATAATTTTTTTGAAAATTTTTACAACATCAGTATAAGAGTTAATAACTTTTGTAACGTTATTAACAACTTCAATATAGTGGTTAACAACAGGTTTTTCGGGAAATTCAGTAATTGGTCGTCGGAGTTTCGATATTTTTTAAAAAATTTTTACAACTTTAGTATAACAGTTAACAACTTATGCAATGCTATTAACAACTTCAGTATAGCGGTTAACAACAGGTTTTTCAGAAAATTTAACAATTGGTCGCTAGAGCTCCGGCGACTAGAAACAATTTTTTGAAAATTTTTTATAATTTCAATATAACGGTCAACAACTTTTGTAACGTTATTAACAACTTTAGTATAACGGTTAACAATAAGTTTTTTGGGAAATTCAACAATTAGTCGCCAGAGCTCCGACGGCTGGAAAATAATTTTTTTTTGAAAATTTTTATAAATTTAGTATAACGGTTTAATGTTATTAACAATCTCAATATAGCAGTTAACAATAAGTTTTTCAAAAAATTCAAAAAGTAGTATTTTTACAACTTCAATAATATCATTAACAAGTTTTGTAACTTTATCAACAACTTTGGAATAGTATTTAACAACAAGTTTTCTTAAAAATTCAAAAAAATGGTTTTTTATAACTTTAACAACTAATTTTTTTTGAAAATTTTTACAACTTCAGTATAATGGTTAACAACTTTTATAACTCTATTAACAACTTTGATATAACAGTTAATAACAAGTTTTTGAGTTTGTTAACGGCACTACTAAAGTTGTAAAAATATTATTTTTTGAATTTCCTAAAAACATGTTGTTAACTGATATACTGAAGTTGTTAATAACGTTACGAAAGTCGTTAACTGTTATACTGAAATTGTAAAAAATTTTAAAAAATTTATTTTCGGCCGTTGGAGCTTGTTGAATTTCCTAGAAAATCTATTGTTAACTGCTATACTGAAATTGTTAATAGCGTTGCAAAAGTGGTTAACCGTTATACTGAAGTTGCAAATTCAGCAAACGTTCTGGTCATTCTGAAGTTAAGTTGTTATTTTTCTGTCTTTTTCCCTTAATTATTTATATGTTCTTCATATACATCCTACCAGCCTGATCTGCTTTTCTTTTCTTTTCTTTTCTTTTCTCTTGTTATCACTTCCTTAATTATAGACATTTTAATTTAATAACACTTTGATTCCATTAAGGGTTTGGTTTTAATAATTTGAGCTTGAATAATATGTTTGCACAGACTACTTGTTGAACATTTATCATGACATTTAGCTAAGCACCAAAAAAAATTATTATTATTATTATTCATGATGCGCATGCAAGCACATGTGTTTAGTTATATGGCATTCCATTGGCCTAGAGGCCCACACAAAAAAAAAAAGAGAGAGAGAGAGAGAAGAAGAAAGTAGCTCATTGACCTAAAATAATTAGTGTTGATAAAAAATCTAGGCTCACGCTTTTTTTATTAATATAATTAAATATAAATGAAAATGACGTCTTTATTTTTGAAAGAATTCTTATCATATATAAATATATCATAAGTTTGTAATTAATTATGTGTTTTGATACGCTGTGGTTTGGTTAAATGTGAACATACCTAATTAGTCGTTGCTTAATGTGCCGTGAGATCTATTCCATTATAATTTGTATATGATTTATTGAAAGAGACATAATATATAGTATACTTGGTCTATTTAATCAGACCTATAAATATTTTATCCCCCTAGTTGGAGGTGTCGTCTTTTTTTTTTTTTTGCCCTTTAGGGTGTTAAGCAGGTATTGTTATTTGTATAGTCATTTTATATACTTTATTTAATTCATAAGAATGAATATAAATATCAATGGCTAAAATAGTGGAGATTTTAATTTTAGAGGCCTCCATCAATATAATTCATCATAAAGAAAAACAATATGGAATTACCTATCTTTTTAACACCAATAATTCTTGAAGAGATAGTTACAAATTATGTAATGGAATCTTAACTAAAGAAATACTAATT